AGGGAGATCGACGGTGGATGCAATTCGGACAGTGATTGACAGAGCCGAGAAAGCGTCCAAACAGAAGCGGAGAAGAAATCGATACTGCGCCGTGATTACGATTGATGTAAAGAATGCATTCAATAGTGCCTGCTGGTAGGCCATCGCCAATACGCTCCATAGAATGATGGTTCCAGACTTCCTCTGCAGGAATCTAAGTAGTTACTTCCAGAACCGAGTCCTGGTCTACGAGACAGAATCACGGCAGGAGTTCCACAAGGCTCCATTCTAGGTCCGGGGGACAAAATTAAGCAATGACACCGATAATGGCCATGCATCAGAACCCTAGTATAACCATAGAGGTAACTCTAAGACTAGAAGATCCCGAAATAACGTGCTTAACTTTTTGGCTCAGCTCTGGTACACTCTTCGGTCCCAAGCTAATCGATTCACCCTTCGAAATATAGGAAAATCCACTAACCCCTCATTTTATCTGTCAAACTTTCATATAGCAAATCGAAACAAACATTGTGTAGTAGTAGAATTTCGACTAGAATAGGGTACGTTAATCGTTTGCTTGGGACCAATAGGCTAGTCAAGTAGTGAGCCAATTTAAAATCGTTAGTTTCGTATTGATTGTTGGTACATCTCCCAAGTCTCTGGGAAAGTATACTGAAGCAACATAGATTTGTTTTCCCGTGAGTTGTTGGAACCTCCATCATGACCGCAACAATGTCTCTTTTTTATAAATTATGTAATAGGAACTAAATTTACTTTAACATTTACTAAAATTGCAGCTCTTGGAGCTAATTGCCCTTCATCGTTAATTACAAGCTGTTGTAGGAACTCCTAATATCCTACTTTTATTTGTCCATTGCTCCTGAATAAGAGCAATGTCCAGTTTTCTCTCTGTAAACCTTTTACAAAATACAGCAGTTGCTCCCTTCGCATGGTGAAGGTTCACTTGAACAAATTTTATTTTATTGTTGTCGAAGTTATTGTTGTTTGCCGCTCGCATGGGGATTTAGTTCTTCTCCAACATCGGTTTTGAGGTTCCCCTTATTTGGATTATTTTCTGCTTGGATCCTAATAATCCTGGCTTCGATCCTTGCTTTTGTGGTGTATTTTTTGCCGTAGAACTACGTCTTTGTCGTCTATACTGGGGTGCAAATCAAAAAATATGTGTGGTTAAATAGTGTTAGGTTTTGTGTTGTATGTGCCAAACCGGATCATGAGTTGACGGGTCGATAAGTAGGGTCCAGGTGAGGGAGCTGCCTCCCTGGCATCGGTTGCATTGGTGCTCAGCACGGAAAACAAATCAAGGAAAAAAAAAAGTGAACCATAACTGTTCACGATAGCGAATTTTCTTGGCCTACAAAGCAAAGTCGGTACGACGTCTTTTCTATTTCCTTTCCCTTTCCTCATTCCTTTCTGTAACACACACACACACACACACTAACCCCGAACAGACCGCGGGAAATCGGTCAGCCAAGTTAACACTTTTTTTTTTGTACGCCGCAAATCAAACGACGTTCCTGATTGGTGGACCAATCGAACGAGCTGTTGTATCGCAACGAATTTTGTTTCAACGAACGATATTTAAGGAAGTGTTCTCTAGAAGAAATAAATATAAGTAATTTGTATTCTATGCAGTGCAGAATAAATTGAAACAGCAAAGAAACAGTGTTGAAGTTCTTTCAAACCAGAGCCTTGGGGAGTGCAGCTATCTGCTGCTCGTCTTTGTCGCCGAATTGAACTGCTGCAAATTGAGTTCTGCACCGCAGCTGCTGATTGATTCCGTATCCGCTTGGAGGACCTTTCACTGCTGCGTAGTTCTATAGTTTCTGGCTGAAGCTACTAAAGGGTGATACGGTCAAAATTTGGTCAAGGGAAAACGCGTGTAAATCGGTGAAATCGTTTATTTAAAAAATCAAATTAAATTTCTTTTTCAAGTTCAACTAGTATAAAATTCAGGAAAAATATTCAGTTAGGCTTCCGCTTTTCCAAATCCGAATTGCCGGGCCTTACGCTTGACCCCTGCCATCAGATTTTGTACAGCCACCTTGTCCCCCTTCTTCGCCGCAGAAAGCCAGTTTGCCTTGAACTGCTGCTCGCCCTTAGCAGTTTTTTTGGTCTTCTTTAGGTTCCGCTTGACAATAGCCCAGTATTTCTCAATTGGGCGGAGCTCTGGCGTGTTGGGAGGGTTCTTGTCCTTGGGAACCACCTGCACGTTGTTGGCGGCGTACCACTCCATGGCCTTTTTACCGTAATGGCAAGATGCCAAATCCGGCCAAAACAGTACGGAACAACCGTGTTTCTTCAGGAAAGGCAGCAGACGTTTATTCAAACACTCTTTCACATAAATTTCTTGGTTGACAGTCCCGGAAGCATGCTTGGCATGCACAGTTGTACACATCAACTGCTCATTTGTTAATAACTTTTCACTCAGTTATTGAAAATTGATTTTCTTTAAAGTAATTGATAGATTAGGATCATAGCTTACTATAGATATGCAAAGAGTAGGTAAATATTAACATTTGAATCAACACCAATGATTTTTTTCACTTAAAGTCAGAGATGTGCAGCGAGCATTTCTCACTTGATTTTGACAACACAAAAACAAACACAGTTTATTACTAGAATTAAAATCTACTTTTTCTTACATACCTAAAACAAGCTTAAACTTTATTCTATCTGCTGCTTCAAACAGAACTATGCTTTGTCAACTGTGTGGAAAGTTATTAGCAAATGAGCAGTTTGTGACCAAAACTGTGTATGCCAAGCATGCCCGGAAGCTATAAAAATGCTGCTTTTCAAGCCACAGGTACAGATGGCTTGCCAAACCAGATATTTCTTTGCGAACTTTGACAGTTTCATGTGCTTGAAAACATCTGCTACCTTTCCCCTTCCTTTTGCCGTATAAAACTCCTGTCCCGGAAGCTGCTTGTAGTCGGCTTTGACGTAGGTTTCGTCGTCCATTACCACGCAGTCAAACTTCGTCAGCATCGTCGTGTACAGCCTCCGGGATCGCGCTTTGGCCGTCGTATTTTGTTTATCATCGCGATTTGGAGTCACTACCTTCTTGTAAGTCGATAGTCCGGCTCGTTTTTTGGCTCGATGCACGGTTGTAGACGATACACCCAGCTTATTTGCGGCATCTCGGAGAGAGAGGTTAGGGTTTCGCTTGAAACTACCGGCAACTCTCTTTGTCGTCTCAGCGGCTTCCGGTTTTCAATTTCCCCCCGATCCAGACTTCCTGGCTGTCGACAAACGTTCCCCAAACACTTTAATTACATTTGTAACGGTTGATTTGGCAACTTTTAGCGATTTTGCCAACTTTGCGTGCGAGTAGCTCGGATTTTCGCGATGCGCGAGCAAAATTTTGATACGCTGCTCTTCTTGCTTGGACGGCATTTTGACAACTGAAGAGTGAATTCCAAAATCAAAATAGGAGCAACATTCTACACACACACACCTTCAAAATGAGGGGTGTTCAGGTTTTTTAAATGCAAAATTGAAAGAAATACGTCAAGTTGATATTGACCAAATTTTGACCGTATCACCCTTTACATCAATTTTGCGTGGTTGTACGTCATACTGCGGTCGTGTATAGGACACAACCCTTTAATTTTTTTTATGGTGGTAAGCTCCAACTTGGATTAACTTTTAATACCGTCCCTGTTTGGATGATCTGCGAAGTGTTTGCATAGCATCGTGTTGAATAACTCTGATGTCGACATCAAAGCAGCCGGACATTCTTGATCGGGATTTAATACGAGGATAATATCGATTCGAGCTTACCGCCATTATTGTCACTATCAACAACGCATAAAAAGTAACAAGGACTAAGATGTGTTCCTTTGATTACTGAAAAATCCAAGTGTTCGATTCATAGTAGTCAGAACTATGAATCGCTGCACGCAAAAAAAACCGTTCCGGTATTCGTGAACAACAAATCACGAAAGCATGAACTGCTAGTTCGTTCCCAAATCCATGAAGTTAAGTCACGCCTGTTCAGTGCGACCATCGATTTCATAACGCTACAGAAAACGCAAAATGATTTCGTGATCCATGAACCAATAAGTGTGATTTTCGTGCCTGAAATCGTGAACTTGGATCACATGCAATGCTGCAGCTGTCATTTTCAGTTGTTGTTGACTTTATCCTTATAGAGTGCTCGGATCCGTCGAGAATAGTGTCTCGATTATTCTTGAATGAGCTGAGCCGTATCATCAGAATGGTGGTCCAGCACAATGGCAGTGGCTGCTACATGTCATCATACTGGTCGTTCTCGAAGAAAAAGAATCCCCGAACGCATCCGGTGTTCTTGCTCCCGCCGCTCCGATGTTGATTTGTTGAGCTGAAAACTCGGCTGAAAGTGTGTTCATTCTACCTGCTGGACAGATACCTGATGCCAGTTTGGGATTCGGGTAAAACCTGCATCAAGGCTTCCGTTGTTTTCATTCTACTTCCTCACTCCATTTAAAGTATTGGTAATTATAATGAAGTTGACATTTTACAGTCCATCAACCATGTTCCCGTTTTCGAGAGAAAGGTTCACGGTATCAATCACAACGCATGAACATAAATCACGTTTGCCAGAACTAGATCATGATTTTCCGAACAGAGTTCACGATTCTACGACTTTTTTTGCCTTTGCAGGCGTTACGTTTATTTTGTCGAACAATGTTCACGATTTCATGATTTTTATTCATGCTGTACTTTTGTAAACGAAAAATTTACTTGTTCCGAAAATCGTGACTGGAGATTGACGAATTTCGGAAGGGATTTTTTTCCCGTGTGGTAGATCTTACATCCCGTAACGTACCACGAAAAGGTGATCTACCCACGTTACGGGGCAACACGGAGCAGTTGGTACTGTGTAGTGTTTTCCACTTGACGTTCGTGATTAAACAGATAATGTGATGGTTAATTGTCTCAATACGGGTACTTGTTTTCCATTAGGAAAAGTTTCTTTCCTTGACAAACAAAAATCACGCCGCACATCTTTCGCTTACTTAAAAAATAGTACTTTTATTGTAAATAACTTTTATTAGCTTGGGCATATATTGCACAGCATATAATGCTAGTTGATTGCATTCATTTCATTTTCCATTTTCGGATTTCACTTTTCTATCAAATTTAATCAATATCGAATATAAATCAACATTTCTAACAAATCAATAAAATTGTATTGCCCGCTTTTCTGCAATTGTCACATTTTTTTTTTTAATTATTGTATCAACAGTCCTGTCCTTCTTCTTTCGATTGTTATTGCTTCTCTCGTATTCGTTGGCACTTGAGCACATTAGATGATTGCATTTTGTTTTTTTTTTTTTTGTTTTGCTTTACTTCAGAAGTAAATGACCAAAAACGTAGATTCGTTCCCGATTGGTTAACTAGCACGTATGGTTTCCTTTGTTTCCGTTCAAATGATGAAATCCTTGGGTAAGTAACGCTTTGATTTTTTTTTGTTAGGATTACAATTGAGCAAATATCTTCATTCGTTTTCAATTATATTTACAATTCACTTGGTGCAAATTACGGCATTCGTCAGCTGATGTGCCCATTATCGTCAGGGGGTAAATTCTGACGATAATGGAGTTGAAAAAAATTGACGAAACCGTACTGCAACCCTTAATAGATATACTTTAACAAATTGTTTTGTTTGCTATTCTTCATTGCCTCACTTCATTTTCAGATATATAAGTTCGAAGAAGCACCTTCGATTCGAGATTTTCGTTAGATGACTTAATTTCGCTAAACATCTTCGTTTTCTTTTGCTAAATATATCACTGCATTCAGGCAAGCGGACGACTGACGAGGGGGTCCTTGCCTTTTTTTTTTCAAAGATGGTACAATTTTGCATAAAAGTATAATTTACTACAACTACTATGAAGCTAGTTTACACATAAGTCATAACTTAAGTTCAATGAAGAAGTTCGCGAAATATGTGGCAAGTTTCATTCCACTACATTCTTGATCTCTGTTTGGAAGACATCGTGAATCGTTTGTTGTTGTGGATAAAAATTTTAATAAAACTATAAAAAATGTTAAACAAAAAAAAAACAGCGAATGAAAAAAACTTAACAAATAATGGTCACTTAAACTTACTATAGAGCACAACATATTTTTTTTTTAGTACGCACAATGTGGTAAATGGGTTAAATGGGTAAATTTGAGCAAATATAAGTTTGATTGCTTTCAGCAACGTACAATTCTACGCATCTACACTTAAATAAACGTACACGAAAAATAGAAAATATGTAGCATTTGAAAATTTATACTTTATCTATTGTACTTAACGTTTTAAAAGTGGGATTAAACTTGGCTTACACTGCGCGTCGTTTTTTTTTTTACCTAACAACTAACTTTGATATGTATGTCTTGGATTAGGTTGGAATGCGATTTCTTGATTGTTTCCTCTTAGTCACTTAGTACAACTCGTTGGTGGATTGCTTTCAGGCATAAAATAAACATTACTGTGTTTTGGTAAAACTGTAAATAAATTCTAAACACTGAACAAAAACGACCCTTGCATTCGGCACACACGCACATTCATACGAACTCACGCACACATACACTCGTTTGTTCGCATAATGCAGACTAAACAATGAACAACTCGACGTACTGATTTGGGATGAGCGAGGGTGCGGCCGCTGTCAGGATGCTTCCCGGGGAAGTGATCAGCTTATCGTGGATATGGTGCTCGTAGGTGGGTGGGGGCGGTTGTAGGATACCTCCCTGTTGTTGATGATGATGCGGATGCTGATGCTGATGATGTCCATGATGATGATGATGATGGTGATGTTGCTGCGATATCGGCGATAGGGGCGTCGTTGTGTAGGCCGGATGGTGGAGGTGGGTGCTGGGAATCGGGATCGTCAACGTGGACGGAATCCCGCTTAGAAGGGGAGGTGACGAAGTGGTGTTAACAGTCTGTTGTTGGTGGACTGGAAACGAGGGAGGGATCGGGGATAGTGGAGATTGCGGCTGCGGAGTGGACGATTGCTGCGATTCGCGCCCAGATGAAGAACCGGCCTGGGAGCTAGCCGGCGGTGGTGGCTGCAGGTGGTCCGCCGTCACGGGAAGCTGTGAGTGTGTGTAAAGAAGTTAAAAATAACTGTCAATTGGGACCTGTTGAGCGGAAACAGAGAAAAGAGAAAGATAGGAAAGAAGAAGATAAGAGACGAAATCATGTACCGGAGTGCTTGCACAGGAACGTGACCTAATTGGTTTTAGCAACCCGCCATAAGAACTACACGGAAGGAAAACGAAATGTAACAGCCATTGAAGTTCGTATGGAATTGTGCAATTGGGAAATCCTATGGTATCCATCTCTTTATTTTTTTTCTGGTGACTACAATTCCTCTTGATATAGTTATGCCTTATATGATGGTCAGATGGAAATCATTGCCAAATAATTTTCATAACGCAATATTTTCATTGGATTGTGTAAGCAGAAGATGTATAATTTGTGAAGACAAACAAATACATTGGTAGCCTTTTTGGCCACAGAGGCGCTCTCATCGCTAGGGAATCCGTTCGCCAGTTAAGCGAAAGACCGGATCCTATTGTTAATATGACATATTTGATACACTTAGAAATACCTAATTTTACACGTGACGGAATCCACATCCTTTGACATAAAGGATGAAACGTAAACAAACATGCCATGTAAAATTAAGTGCTCCGAGACTGAAAAGTTCGGTACTCGACGAAAAGTACGTTTGATTGAGCTGAGTTTTGCGTCTATTACGACTCAATTTTATGTCAAAAATGATGCTCGTCTCAGCCTCGTCTGCAGTCTCAGAGCACCTAAATTTACATGAATTTTTTTAAGTGTGTATTTTCCACCGGATGGAGAAAGCTCTACAAACACGATAAAGCCATGCCTAACCCCCCCCCCCCCCCCCCCACCAACGAATGACACTCACCAGCGCCGGTTGATGGTGATGATGAGGCGGCATATTCGGTGGCAGGTGGTGCGGGGGAGCCGCTGCTGCAGCCGGTGCCCCGTAGTACGTGGTCGGCGATACCGGAGGGCTGGGATAGCCCCAGTAGAGGATCGGCTGCGGATAGAACGCAGCGTGGGCGGGATGGTGGGCTCGCGGTGGCAGGACCGCTGCCGGGGGCGGTCCAAACGGGCTGAATCCACCGAACGGGGCTCCTACGATGGTTCCACCTATAATTGGGGGGTGAAATTTGTGTTGGACAAAAGAGACAAAAACATGGTGATGTTAGCGAATTTTTCGTGAGGGTAGATATTTTTAATCACTAAATAGCTTAAGGATAAAACGTAAGAAGAAATTATAAAATCTAATGATGAAAGGAAGATTTTTTGGGGGGAAGGTGGAAATTTCTCAGGGAGGAAAATTCAGTTGTTATTTTTGCTTCTTCTTTTTTTGTTGGTAAGTTCGATTCGATCCTATTGCGGATAAAGCTAGTGAACCCGTGCATATGTAAAATAAGTAAATTTAATTGTAAATGTAGCAAAGAGAACCTTATTCTGGAATTGAGAGGTTCTATGAATTGCGACAGCCCTGAGATTTAGCTAAATTGAACCGGTGACTACTGTTGAATGGAGTTTCTGGCGAAGACACATCGCAACCAACTTCAGATGGCTGCGGCTGTTAAATTGATCTACAAATCAGTGCCAATATTTTATTAGGGCGAAACTACTTTTGTAAACAATGATTTCAAGCACCGATTTCTCGCAAACAAAAGCGCACTCCTGCAAAGTAACAATGCCAGCTGGTAGAGGAAACATTCCCCTACCTGATGGTGTTATTAATTTGCATGTATGAGCTTTTATTCGTGAGACACAGAAGACTAAAGACATTGTTTAGAAAAGCAATTTCGCCATTTTGAAATGTTGGCACTGAAATATAGATCTTTCTCTGCAATGAAAAAAACGTGTGTGATGCCATTTGTGATTTTTAAGCTATAGTTTACAAATGATGTTTACTCCAGGGTCTACCCCGTTTGGCATACTCAGTAGTAAATCTAACCTCTATTTGATCAAGAAAGATAAAGGCATACGTTTTATTATATTCTCCTAACCCTTATTATATTCTATATAACCCTTTATTTAATTTTAAAAACAAAATTCCCTATTTCATTAAATATTTAATAGAAAGCAACTATTTCCTGCGATATGAAAATATTCAAGACTGAATTACTCCCATATTTATGAAAGTATAAAAGGAAGGAAATCTCTCGAAAAAAATTCATTCCTCATCACCATATTCACAGAAGAACAGATTGAGCTCTTTCAGGACAAAAGCAATAAAAAAATCGACACGACTTTTCCCTTAAAAATTGCATAGGGTAGACGTACCAGCTATGGCTATACGTTCCCATTATGGTGTGTTCCAATTGCCTATGGAATTCCATAGGACATAATTGGAACACACCCTAATGCGAACGTATAGCCATAACTGGTACGTCTACTCTAGTTGTTTTAATCTAGCGTAATTTTACAAAATGACGTGATCCACATTTTTGCATAAATCATAGCACGAAAACGTCATTTCTAATCGAAATTACATCTAAAAAGAAGGGCAAATAACCAAGTTTTTTTTTAACTTTGAGGTATAAATCCCAAAAAGTAATCAACAATTTTATAACATAAAATGTTCATATTCAATTTTATTATTTTTTTTAAAGAGCTATGAAAAATTAAAGCTTTAGGAATACCGTAAAACGGCCCTAATAAAAATTTTATGGTTAATTTGCTTAACGACGAGTTCGGGGTATCATCCAAACCATTTTTGGAATAGTTCGATCATTTTGGTTATCGTTCGCTTATGGTATTTTTTTTATTAGGGGGGGGGGTGACATTGGGCCAAAATTGAAACATGTATATTGATGCCTACATCTTGAATATTCAGAAAATGATGACTAGAATATGTTTCTTGAACTCCTGGAGTTATATTTAAAAAGTGCTGTAAAGTTAAGTGTCATGAATAGTAGCAAAAAACATTTTTAGAAATGTGTACAGGCAAACAAAAGTTTGAACACACTTTTATGTGGATAGCTGATGGTTACACGCAATCTTTAGCCATACATACGAAGTACATTGTGATCATAACCAAGTGTACTCCTAATAGTTGCGCTACATTTGTATATTTTAAGATATTTTAACCAAATTTATGGTTTGGCCCAATGTTACCCCACATTAGGTTTTACATTCTTGCTAAAATGTGAATGTTATAAGGTAGGGAACAACAAATTTTGATTTTTTTGCCCATTGTCACCCCCACTTACGGTATTGAAAACTTTGGTCACAAAAATTGACAAGATGCGTAGAAGAACAACTTTTGGTAAAATGTTTGAACTTCTTTGTTCAATATTTTTGAATTTTTTGCGCAGAAATCGATTTAAAATCTCACAAATATTGTGTTGCAAAAATTATTGAAAAAGGTATGAACAATAAGTTCAAACATTTTACCAAAAGTTGTTTGTTTTCGTCAGTTTTTAAGTGCCCAATATTCCAAAAGTTTGGCTTTTTTTAAGTTTTTTTTTATTATTAAAAATATTGAGCAAGTAAATTTATTGTTATTAAATTATTAATCACTATTTTGGAAAAAATACTAAACAAAATTCACCGTGTATATTTTTCAACGAAAGACTATATTTCTAGACTAACATTTGAAAGGGGCGGAAGAGCCCAAATGTAAATAAACCATATTTTGCCACATATAGAGAGAACAGTTCACAAACTACTCGATAATCACGAAAAAGCAGAAGAAAATATCACTTCAAATCATCAAAAACGTTTCTTCTTACATGGCGTATTTCCAACTTTCAACTCTATGATGCATCTGGTTGTTACGCCTTGCACCAGAACTACGAATTATATCGTTTTAATATGCCAAACGTATTGATTATGTAGTACCTATTCACGCCCGATTCATTTGAAATGCATCCGATTGATAGTTCACGTGTAAACAACGAATGAAAAGAAGACCAAAAAATTCCCGGGCGTAATTCCACTCTCACAAAATTTGGGAACGAAGAACCACGGCGGAACAACAAACAAAAAATCACGAGGGTGTACTTTCACGGCGGATCACCAGTGTTGGCAGTTCAATGGGTGGAAGATCCGGGGGTAACAACTTGTAAGAAATTATCGGGCGTATGATGTTTTCTTCTCAATTTCACGACAAAGAAAACTTTTTTTTTAGTTTATAGTGATGCATGATGATTGATTACACTATTAACTATATGTCAAGTTTATAAAATCATCCAGAAAATGGAAAGTCGTGAAATAGGATTAATTTTTATGTCATCAAAATTCGGAAGCGATTTTCTCGATATGGCCATTTTGGATTTACGCCCTTTCAAATGTTGTGAATGATTACCCATAACAAACAATTATGCAAAGTTTCATGATCGAGTCTGATTGATTCGTCTTTTGGCGTCCCGTAAAAAAAAGAACCATAGAGGTACAATGAAATGTATTTTAACCATACAATAGAATTTAATGTATTCACAATAAATCGTATTGTCCCCAACGATAAAATAAAGTTCGTATTTATTGTTTCCACAATAGAATCTACAGTAGAACAATGGGAATTGTTATTTATCTTAACCATCCGAAAAATCACTTTTTCCCGAACAAACTTGAGCCATTTACCATTGCTTATATTGTTGCTCTACCGTTGAAAATTTGTACATCTGTTGTAATAACAATATGTTAAAATTTATAAGTACAATAGGACCAATTGTTGGCATTAGATTTAGTTGTAATTGTATTTTTTTTTATGGTAATTGTATGGTTATTTTTTCCAGGGTGGAACTGCTCTATTCCCTTCATTATTGACATATACAAGGCAGCACCGTTTCTTTGACCAATTTTCCAATATGAATTTCCTAAAATAAACCTCCACAATCCGGTTCCCTCCCTAACTCAATTCCCTGCCTAGCTCGATGGTCCCTTGAAACTCGAGATAGGGAGAGTTGACTGTATTCACATTTTATCAAAATATTCAAAGGAAGAAATGGAGCAGCTCAACGCCAAGTGTCGAATGGGAAAAGGCTCGGCCTCCTTCGATTTGCATGAACCTTTGCATAATTGTTTGTTTTGATCAAATTTGGCCATTTTGGATCTTGTAAAATTTTAAAACTAGCGACTTTGCAATTTTGCAAAAAAAAAAATGTAGCGCGAAAACGGCACTCCTGATCGAAATGACGTCTGATACAAAGTTGTTGAGAAAAAATCTAGATAGAGCTGGAACTAGGGTGTAACAGCTTTTGAGAACAATGACTTCTCTTGATGATTTATAGAAATTCAAGGTTCGTCCACGCAATCCAATATCCTCATTGGGTAGAGAAAGACTTCCCCTATCCGATGGTTATGTTGGTCTGCGTGGGCGTGCCTTGAATTCATAGAAATCATCGATAGAAGTCATTGTTTACAAAAGCTGTTACACCCTAGTTCCAGCTCTATCTAGATATTTTTTTTCAGGGAGAAATATGCAAAATAACGTAAAGAAAGAAGTTATTTTGTTTTAAACCTTAAGCTGTGTTCCATTTGGTGAATTTTCACTTAAATTTGACACTTCGGAGAAATAGATTATAATGTACGAAAATCCCTCTGTGGTTGATCGTCAGCTTCTCGAGCAGGTGTAAAACTTGATTCCTGGTCTGTCAGAAATAAGTTTGGTACAATAGCAAGTTTATTTGAAAATTTTCCAACTGTCAAATTTAAGTGAAAATTCACCAAATGGATCACAGCCTTAATAGCTCAAAATGCTCATATCCGATTATATTATTTTTTAAACAGCTCATGAAAAATGCAAGCTTTTGCAATGTTTAAAATTATGAACACTTAAAAATTTACAGAAATCGCAGTACAAGAACTTTTGGTCCAATGTTTTAACTTAAAAAAAGTTTTTTCCATGTTATTTATACTAAGAAAAAAATGTTTGAGAAATTTTAAATAATACGCAAAAAAAAGCGTACCGTAAAACGGGGCAACATTGATAGTTTTTCTTAAGTATATTTTAAATATTTTTTACAGCAATGGCTGTTTTTCAAATTTTATATTTTTAAACCAAGTACTGAGGATCCAAGAGTTAATTCGTTAGTAATATGTTGAACGAAAATTAAAGCATTTGCACTATTTTTTTAGTTTTGTGACCGAACTTCAGTATTTTGATTTGGGGTTACTTTGATAAT